AAACCAGGGAGGTCTAAACCAGACTAACCAGGTCTTAAACCAGGACTAACCAGGTCTAAACCAGGGTAAACCAGGACTAACCAGGACTAAACCGCAGACTAAACCAGGACTAAACCAGGACTAAACCAGGTCTAAACCAGGACTAAACCAACTAAACTCTTATTTAAGGAGTTTCTTGGTGTTTTTTCTTTTCTCCTGCAGCCACAGAACAGGTCTGTTTCATATTTTAGACACACAGATATTTTTATTGATCTGGAGGGTGAATTCAGGTAAAGCAGCTTTAAGAAAAACAACTCAGCACAAACGTGAGAAGGAGAAAAAAACAACGACACGAAGCCCAGACTCTGAGGAGCAGAGTCCAGGACTAAAAACTCCTCCAGCCAGCACATGAACGAACGAGAGAACAAAGACACGACGACGAGAACAACAAAACACACGGCGAGACGACGATCGAAGAAACAACAACAACAGCGCGACGAGAAACAAACAACAGAAACACAACGACGACGAGAAACAAACAACAAAAACACAACGACGACGACGAACAAACAACAAAACACGAGACGACGACGAGAGAAACAAACAACAAAACACGACGCGACGAGAAACAAACAACAAAACACAACGACGACGCGAGAAACAAACAACAGAAACACAACGACGACGACGAGAAACAAACAAACCAAACGACGACGACGAGAACGACGACAGACAGACGACGACGAGAAACAAACAACAGAAACACAACGACACGACGAGAAACAAACAACAGAAACACGACGACGACGAGAAACAAACAACAGAAACACAACGACGACGACGAGAAACAAACAACAAAAACACAACGACGACGAGAAACAAACAACAGAAACACAACGACGACGACGAGAAACAAACAACAAAAACACAACGACGACGACACGAAACAAAACAACAAAACAGACACGACGAGAAACAAACAACAAACACAACGACGACGAGAAACAACAACAAAAACACAACGACGACGAGAAACAAACGAGAAACAAACAACAGACGACGACGAGAAACAAACAACAAGAAACACAAAAACAACACACGACGACGACGAAACAACAAAAACACGACGACGACGAGAAACAAAACAACACAAACACACGACGACGAGAAAACAAACAACAAACACAACAACGACGAACAACAACACGACGACGAGAAACAAAACACACGACGAGACAACACAACGACGACGACGAGAAAACAAACAACAAAAACACAACGACGAGAAAACAGAAAAACACGAAACACAACGAGACGACGAGAAACAACAACAAAACAACAACGACGACGACGACGAACAAACAACAAAACACAGACGACGACGAGAAACAAACAACAAAAACACGACGACGAGAAAACAAACAAAAACACAACGACGACGACGAGAAACAAACAACAAAACACAACGACGACGAGAAACACAACAAAACACAACGACGACGAGAGAAACAAACAAAAAAACGACGACAACGACGACGAGAAACAAACAACAGAAACACAACGACGACGAGAAACAAACAACAGAAACACAACACGACGACGAGAAACAAACAACAGAAACACAACGACGACGAGAAACAAACAACAAAACACAACAACGACGACGAGAAACAAACAACAGAAACACAACGACGACGAGAAACAAACAACAAAAACACAACGACGAGAAACAAACAACAAAACAAACGACGACGAGAAACAAACAACAAAAACACACGACGACGACGAGAAACAAACAACAAAAACACAACGACGACGACGAGAAACAAACAACAGAAACACAACGACGACGAGAAACAAACAACAAAAACAAACGACGACGAGAAACAAACAACAAAAACACAACGACGACGACGAGAAACAAACAACAGAAACACAACGACGACGAGAAACAAACAACAGAAACAACGACACGACGAGAAACAACACACAGAACACAACAACGAGAAAACAAACAACAGAAACACAACGACGACGAGAAACAAACAACAAAAACACAACGACGAACGAGAACAAACAACAAAAACACAACGACGACGAAAACAACAACAAAAACACACGACGAACGAGAACAAACAACAGAAACACAACGACGACGAGAACAAACACAAAAACACAAACGAGAAACAAACAACAAAAAACACAACGACGAGAGAAACAAACAACAAAAACACAACGACGAGGAGAAACAAACACAAAACAAACAACAAGAAACACAACGACGACGACGAGAACAAAAACAGAAACACAAAACGAGAAACAAACAACAAAAACACAACGACGACGAGAAACAAACAACAGAAACACAACGACGACGAGAAACAAACAACAAAAACACAACGACGACGAGAAACAAACAACAAAAACACGACGACGACGAGAAACAAACAACAAAAACACAACAACGAGAAACAAACAACAAAAACACGACGACGACGAGAAACAAACAACAAACACGACAAACAACACAACACAACGAACGACGACGAAACAAAACACAACGAACAGAGAACACAACGACGACGAGAAAAACAACAGAAACACAACGACGACGACGAGAAACAAACAACAGAAACACGACGACCGACGACGAGAAAACAAACAACAGACGACGACGACGACAGAGAAACAAACACCAAAAACACACGACGACGAGAAACACACAAAACAACGAGACGAACGACAAACAACAACAGAAACACAACGACGACGAGAAACAAACAACAAAAGAAACAACGACAAACAAACAACACACGACGACGACGAGAACAAACAACAAAAACAACGACGACGACAGAGGAGAAACAAACAACAAAAACCGAAAAACCACACACGACGACGAAAAACAACAAAACACAACAACGAGAAACAAACAACAAAACACAAACGACGACGAGAAACAAACACGAACACAACGACGACGAGAAACAAACGACGAGAACACAACAACGACGACGAGAAACAAACAACAGAAACACAACGACGACGAGAAACAAACAACAGAAACACAAGACGACGAGAAACAAACAACAAAAACACAACGAATAAAAAAACAAAAAAAACAACGACGACGACGAGAAACAAACAACAAAAACACAGCACACGAGAAACAAACAACAAAAAACAGCGACCGACGAGAAACAAACACAAAAAAACACAAACAACGACAGACGAGAAACAAACAACAAAAACACAACGACAGAAACAAACAACAAAAACACAACGACGACGAGAAACGAGAAACAACAACACAACGACGGAGAAACAAACAACAAAAAACAACACGAAAACAACAACGAAAACAACGACGACGACAAAAAACAACAACGACGACGAGAAACAAACAACAGAAACACAACGACGACGAGAAACAAACAACAAAAACACACAACGACGACGACGAGAAACAAACAACAAAAACACAACGACGACGACGAGAGAACAAAACACAAAACAAAACAACGACGACGACGACAAAACAGAAAAAACAAACAGAAACACACAACGCGACGAGAAACAAACAACAGAACACAACGACGACGAGAAACAAACGACAGAAACACAACGACGAGAAACAAAACAACAGAAACACGACGACGAGAAACAAACAACAGAAACACAACGACGACGAGAAACAAACAACAAAAACACAACGACGACGAGAAACAAACAACAAAACACAAACGACAACGACGACAGAAACACAACGACGACGAGAAACAAACAACAAAAACACGACGACGAGAAACAAACAACAGAAACACAACGACGACGACGAGAAACAAACAACAGAAACACAACGACGACGACGAGAAACAAACAACAGAAACACAACGACGACGAGACCAAACAACAAAAACACACGACGACGAGAAACAAACAACAGAAACACAACGACGACGACGAGAAACAAACAACAAAAAACACAACGACGAGAAACAACAGAAAACACAACGACGACGACGAGAAACAAACAACACGAACGAGGAAACACAAAAAAACAACGAGACGACGAGAAACAAACAAAAAAAACAACGACGAACGAGAAAACAAACGAACAAAAACACAACGACGACGACGACAAACACAACGACGACGACGAGAACAAACACTCAAATAACTACAACGACTCTATATAACTCAAACAACATACAACTTCTATATGAAAACAAACTCAATAAACAACGCGAGAAACAAGAAAAAAACTCATGGACCAAAGGGTTATATAACTCATTATACTCTATATTGACCTCTAATATATCTCTATATACTCTTATAACTCTATAAACCTCTATATATCTCTATATAACTCTATATAACTCTATATGATGACTCTATATATATATAACTCTATATAACTCTATATGACTCTATAACTCTATATGACTCTATATAACTCTCTATAATATACTAATATAACTCTATATGACTCTAATATAACTCTATATAACTCTATATAACTCTATAACTCTATATAACTCTATATAACTCTATATAACTCTATATATATAACTCTATATAACTCTATATGACCTTATATAACTCTATATAACTCTATATAACTCTATATAACTCTATATGACTATATAACTCTATATAACTCTATATGACTCTATATGACTCTATAACTCTATATACTCTATATATAACTCTATATATAACTATATATACTCTATATATATAACTCTATATATATAACTCTATATAACTATATACTCTATATAACCTATTAACTCTATATAACTCTTATATGACTCTATATAATATAACTTCTATATGACTCTCTATAACTCTATATAACTCTATATGACTATATATATCTTATATACTCTATATAACTCTATATATATAACACTTATAACTCTATATAACTCTATATAACTCTAATATATGACTCTATATAACTCTATATAACTCTATATAACTCTATATAACTCTATATAACTCTATATGACCCTCAGGTCCGGAGTGTTCTCGTAACTTCACGGCGCCGCAGGGTCGCCTGGTCACGCCGGGGTTTCCGGACAAATACCCGAACAACCTGGAGTGCACGCTGATGGTGACGGCGCCGCAGACGTCCGACATCGTGGTGGAGTTCGAGACGTTCGACATGGAGCCCGACACCACGTCTCCACCGGGGGCGCTGTGCCGCTTCGACTGGCTCGAGATCTGGGACGGATTCCCCGCAGGTCCGAGGGCGGGACTAAGAGGGGTCTATTTAGGACTGGACCAGGACCAGGACTGAACCCGGACTAAACAAGGACCAGGACTGAACCAGGACTAAACAAGGACCAGGACTAAAACCAGGACTAAACAAGTACTAAATCAGGACTAGGACTACATCAGGACTAAACCAGGACTAAACAAGTACTTGGACTAAACCAGGACTAAACCAGGACTGAACCAGGACCAGGACTAAACCAGGACTAAACCAGGACTGAACCAAGACTAAACCAGAACTAAACCAGGACTAAACAAGTACTAGGACTACACCAGGACCAGGACTAAACCAGATCTAAACCAGTACTAAGACTAAACCAGGACTAGGACTAAGACAAGACTAAACCAGGACTAAACAAGTACTACGACTACACCGGGACTAAACCAGGACCAGTACTAAACCAGGACTAAGACTTAAACAGGACTAAACCAGGACTACACCAGAACTAAACCAGTACTAAGACTAAACCAGGACTAGGACTAAGCCAAGACTAAACCAGGACTAAACAAGTACTAAGACTAAACCAGAACTAAACCAGTACTAAGACTAAACCAGGACTAAACAAGTACTTGGATTAAACCAGGACCAGAACTAAACCAGGACTAAACCGGTGGAGGACCAGGGGGGTGGGTGGTTGTCTCGTACCCAGACACAGTGCCTGGTGTTGGGGGTCGTGTGGATGGATGTGTGCCCTCCGGAGCTGAACGTGGAGGGACTCAGATCTGGAGCTCACCCAGAGAAAGTGACCTGTTGTGGGGACAGTTTGTCAGAGTGAGGGGGGGGGTCTGGATGGATGTCTCTTACCCAGAAAGAGAGCCTCGTCCTGGGCAAAGTGTGGCGGGTGCAGGGGGGCACTGTGGATGTCGCTCACCCATAAAATGTTCTCCGTCTTGGGGATAGAGATTTGGATGGAGGGAGGGTCTGGATGGACGTCTCACTTACCCAGACACAGCCCCTCGTTTTGGGGATAGAGTGTTGGGCGTAGGGGGTTCTGAATGGATGTTTCATGCCCAGGATGAGTGCCTCGTCTTGGGGATAACATGGAGAGGGAAAGGGGGTGTGTGGATGGATGTTTCTAACCCAGAAAAAGTGCCTCATCTTGGGATAGAGTGGAGTTGCAGGGGGGGTCTGGATGGATGTTTTGTACCCTGGATGAGTGCCTCGTCTCAGGGATACTGTGGCAGGTGCAGGGGGTTGTGGATGGATGTTTCATACCCAGAAAGAGCGCCTCATTTCGGGGATAGCGTGTTAGGCGAAGGGGGGGTTCTGGATGGATGTTTCGTACCCAGGATGAGTGCCTCGTTTCTGGGATAGCGTAGAGAGTGAAAGGAGGGTGTGGCTGGATGTTTTTAACCCAGAAAGAGTGCCTTGTCTCGGGGATAGCGTGGAGGATCGGGGGGGGTCTGGATGGATGTTTCGTACCCAGGATGAGTGCCTCGTCTCGTGGATAAACATGGAGGGTGAAGGGGGGTCTGGATGGATGTTTCAAACCCCAGAAAGAGTGCCTCATTTTGTGGATAGTGTGTTGAGTATGAGGGGGTCTGGACAGATGTTTTGTTCCCTGGATGAGTGCCTCGTCTTGGGGATCGCGTGGAGGTGCAGGAGGGGTCTGGATGGATGTTTTGTACCCAGAAAGAGTGCCTCGTCTTGGGGATAAACATGGAGGGTGAAGGGGGGTCTGGATGGATGTTTCAAACCCCAGATAAGAGCCTCGTTTCGGGGACAGTGTGTTGGGCGTAGGGGGGTTGTGGATGGATGTGTCATTCCCAGAAAGAGTGCCTCATTTTGGGTATAGTGTGTTGGATGTAGGGGGGGTCTGGATGGATATTTCTTACCCAGGATGAGTGCCTCGTCTGGGGGATTAACATGGAGAGTGAAGGGGGGGTCTGGATGGATGTTTTGTACCCTGGATGAGTGCCTCGTCTGGGGGATACTGTGGCAGGTGCAGGGGGGGGTCTGATGGATGAGTGCCCTCCAGAGGTGCAGGGACGTGGGGATGTTTTGAAGGATGTGGCCTCCTGGAGCAGAACCAGGAGGAAGTAGGCCAAACCAGACAAGACGGATGACACGGAGCCACTCGGAAAAACACGGAAAAACAGGGAATTGTGGGTATTTTTAGACGTGCGCTGTTACTAAGGCCGAGACGGGACGGAGACGAGTCACGAGGAACGAAAACAGGAGACGACGTCGTTAGAAATGAGACGCAGATAAATTATTTAGACCTTAGCGACAAAGAGAGTATTTTTATTACATTTAACCCTGTTTAATGTGAGGAAATGTCCCACAGTGGAGCTTTAACTATGCTCTGGTTCAGTCCTGGTTTAGTCCTGGTTTAGTCCTGGTTTAGACCTGGTTTAGTCCTGGTTTAGTCCTGGTTTAGACCTGGTTTAGTGGTTTAGTCCTGGTTCAGTCCTGGTCTTGGTCCTGGTCCTGGTCCAGTCTTGGTTGAGTCCTGGTCTTGGTCTTCGCAGTGGGCCCTCACATCGGGAGGTTCTGTGGTCAGAAGTCTCCGGGTCGGATCGTGTCTCACACCGGGATTCTGTCCATGACCATCACCACGGACAACGCCATCTCCAGAGAAGGATTCTCCGCCAACTACACCATCCGAGAGAGAAGCTCCCCGCCAGGACACCACGCCTCCGGTGAGACACTGAGACACTGAGACACTGAGACACTGAGACACAGAGAGAGACAGAGACACTGAGACAGAGACACAGAGACACTGAGACACAGAGACACTGAGACACAGAGACACAGACACTGAGACAGAGACACTGAGACACAGAGACACTGAGAGAGACACTGAGACACTGAGACACAGAGACAGAGACAGAGACACAGAGACACTGAGACAGACAGAGACACTGAGACACAGAGACAGACAGAGACACACTGAGACAGAGACACAGAGACACTGAGACACTGAGACACAGAGACACAGAGACACAGAGACAGAGACACTGAGACACAGAGACAGAGACACTGAGACACTGAGACACAGAGACAGAGAGACACAGAGACACTGAGACAGAGACAGAGACACTGAGACACTGAGACACACTGAGACACTGAGACACAGAGACACTGAGACACTGAGACAGAGACAGAGACAGAGACACTGAGACACAGAGACACTGAGACAGAGACACTGAGACACTGAGACACAGAGACACTGAGACAGAGACAGAGAGACACTGAGACACTGAGACACAGAGACACAGAGACACTGAGACACTGAGACACTGAGACAGAGAGACACAGAGACACAGAGACACAGAGACACTGAGACACTGAGACACAGAGACACTGAGACACAGAGACACAGAGACACTGAGACACTGAGACACTGAGACACAGAGACACAGAGACAGAGACACAGAGACACTGAGACACAGAGACACTGAGACAGAGAGACACTGGGACACACAGACACTGAGACACTGAGACACAGAGACACTGAGACAGAGAGACACTGAGACACACAGAGAGACACTGAGACAGAGACACTGAGACAGAGACACTGAGACACTGAGACACAGAGACAGAGACACACTGAGACACTGAGACAGAGACACTGAGAGACACAGAGACACTGAGACAGACACTGAGACACTGAGACAGAGACACTGAGACACAGAGACACTGAGACACTGAGAGACAGAGACACAGAGACACTGAGACAGAGACAGAGACACTGAGACACTGAGACACAGAGACACTGAGACACAGGACACTGAGACAGAGACAGAGACACTGAGACACAGAGACAGACAGAGACACTGAGACAGAGACACTGAGACACAGAGACACTGAGACACAGAGACACTGAGACACTGAGACAGAGACAGAGACAGAGAGACAGACACTGAGACACTGAGACACTGAGACAGAGAGACACTGAGACACAGAGACTGAGACACTGAGACACTGAGACTGAACAGAGACATGAGACAGAGAGACACTGAGACACTGAGACAGAGACACTGAGACAGAGACACTGAGACACTGAGACAGAGAGACACTGAGACACTGAGACAGAGACACTGAGACAGAGAGACACTGAGAGACACTGAGAGACTGAGACACAGAGACACTGAGACACAGAGACACTGAGACAGAGAGACACTGAGAGACACTACAGAGACACTGAGACAGAGACCTGAGACACAGAGACACTGAGACACTGAGACACTGAGACACAGAGACACAGAGACAGAGAGACACTGAGACACAGAGACACTGAGACAGAGAGACACTGAGACACAGAGACACAGAGACAGAGACAGAGACAGAGACACTGAGACACTGAGACACAGAGACACTGAGACACAGAGACAGAGAGACACTGAGACACTGAGACAGAGAGACACTGAGACACTGAGAGACAGGGAGACACTGAGACACACAGAGACAGAGACCTGAGACAGAGAGACACTGAGACAGAGAGACACAGAGACACAGACAGAGACACAGACAGAGACACTGAGACAGAGACTGAGACACGAGACACGAGAACACTGACAGAGACACTGAGACACAGAGACACTGAGACAGAGACACTGAGACACAGAGACACAGAGACACTGAGACACAGAGACTGAGACAGAGAGACACTGAGACACAGAGACACAGAGACTGAGACACAGAGACACTGAGACACAGACACTGAGACACAGAGACACTGAGACAGAGACACTGAGACACAGAGACACTGAGACACTGAGACACTGAGACACAGAGACACACTGAGACACTAGAGACAGAGACACAGAGACACAGAGACACAGAGACACTGAGACAGAGAGACACTGAGACAGAGAGACAGAGACAGAGAGACACTGAGACACAGAGACACTGAGACACTGAGACACAGAGACAGAGACACTGAGACACTGAGACAGAGAGACACTGAGACACTGAGACACAGAGACTGAGACAGAGACACAGAGACACTGAGACACAGAGACACAACAGACACAGAGAGAGACACTAGAGACACACGAGACCAGAGACACACAGAGACACTGAGACACTGAGACAGAGACACTGAGACACACAGACACAGAGACTGAGACAGAGACACAGAGACACTGAGACACAGAGACACTGAGACACTGAGAGAGACACTGAGACAGAGAGACACTGAGACACTGAGACACAGAGACACTGAGACACACAGAGACACTGAGACACAGAGACACTGAGACACAGAGACACAGAGACACTGAGACACTGAGACACAGAGACACGAGACACTGAGACACAGAGACACTGAGACACTGAGACAGAGACACTGAGACAGAGAGACACTGAGACACTGAGACACAGAGACACACAGAGACACTGAGACACTGAGACACAGAGACACTGAGACACTGACTGAGACAGAGACACAGAGACACTGAGACACAGAGACACTGAGACACAGAGACACAGAGACACAGAGACACTGAGACACAGAGACACTGAGACACTGAGACACAGAGACAGAGACACTGAGACACTGAGACACAGAGACACAGAGACACTGAGACACTGAGACACTGAGACACAGAGACACTGAGACACACAGACACTGAGACAGAGAAGAGATGAAACTATAAAACTTTTACATTAAACTATTTATTTTGTTTTACTAAAAAAAACTGTTAAACACAAGAACAAGTTCATGTTGGTCGAGCAGAACCTGAGTTCAGGATTTGAGATAAAAAAAAAACTCAAGATTTAGTTTATTTATTTATTTATTTATTTTGTTGTAATTTATTCGCTGAAGGTCAAAGATTCTAAAGTTCAGGTCAAAACTTTAACATCAGTTTTGGTGAAAATAATTCTGAACCTGAAACTGAAACTCAGATTTTTCCTCTGACGTCACGAGAACAAACTGAAGTGAGGAGGTCCAGGGTCTGTGAGGAACTGCTCTTCATCTTCATCTTCATCTTCATCTTCATCTTCATCTTCATCTCCTCCTCTTCATCTTCATCTCCTCCTCTTCATCTTCATCTCCTCCTCTTCATCTTCATCTCCTCCTCCTCTTCATCTTCATCTCCTCCTCCTCTTCATCTTCATCTTCATCTCCTCCTCATCTCTTCATCTTCATCTCCTCCTCTTCTTCATCTTCATCTTCTCCTCCTCTTATCTTCTTCTTCATCTTCATCTTCTTCACTTCTTCATCTTCATCTCCTCCTCTTCTCTCTCTTCTTCTTCTTCATCTTCATCTCTCTTCTTCTTCTTCTCTCTTCATCTTCATCTCTTCTCTTTTCTCCTTCTTCATCTTCATCTTCATCTCTTCACTTCATCTCTCATCTTCATCTCCTCTCATCATCTTCTCTCTCTCTTCATCTTCCTCTTCTTCATCTTCTTCACTTCTCTTCATCTTCATCTTCTCTCTCTTCATCTTTCTTCACTTCTTCATCTTCATCTCCTCTTCTTCATCTCCTCCTCCTCCTCCTCTTCTTCACACATGTACCTCGTAAAGTTGTGAGTTATGTTTGCCCTCTGCCCCTCGCTGCCCCCTGCTGACCTCCTGTGGAATGTTCTCCTGTGGGATGTTCTCCTGTGGGATGTTCTCCTGTGGGAATGTTCTCCTGTGGATGTTCTCCTGTGGGATGTTCTCCTGTGGGATGTTCTCCTGTGGAATGTTCTCCTGTGGGATGTTCTCCTGTGGGATGTTCTCCTGTGGAATGTTCTCCTGTGGAATGTTCTCCTGTAGGATGTTCTCCTGTGGGATGTTCTCCTGTGAATGTTCTCCTGTGGAATGTTCTCCTGTGGAATGTTCTCCTGTGGGATGTTCTCCTGTGGGATGTTCTCCTGTGGAATGTTCTCCTGTGGGATGTTCTCCTGTGGGATGTTCTCCTGTGGGATGTTCTCCTGTGGGATGTTCTCCTGTGGTGTTTGTGGAGATGTTTTCATTTAAGACGTTCCTGGTTCTTCTGTGAGTTCCTCGTGTTCTCTGAGGAGCAGCTCTGGGTTTGGGTCTAAAGTCCGAGTGACGTTCACGCAGAAGGAACAAACATGGTCCAGACGTTAAACGTTTCATCAAGACTTTTCATTTCACGAAGAAAATCAGACTTTTTCAGAGTTCTTGTCGTGTTTCCCGCGGTGTTTTTTCAGAGTTCTCATGTTTTTCTCGTGGTGTTTGTCAGAGTTCTCGTTCTGTATTTTTCAGAGTTCTCACAGTGTTTTTTAGAGTTCTCGTGGTGTTTTTTAGAGTTCTCGTGGTGTTTTTTTAGAGTTCTCGTGATGTTTTTTTAGAGTTCTCGTGGTGTTTTTTAGAGTTCTCGTGGTGTTTTTTTAGAGTTCTCATGTTTTTCTCGCGGTGTTTTTCAGAGTTCTCATGTTTTCTCATGTTTTTTCTCTTCTCGTGGTGTTTTTTAGAGTTCTCATGTTTTTCTCGTGTTTTTTAGAGTTCTCGTGGTGTTTTTTTAGAGTTCTCTTTTTTTCTCGGTGTTTTTCAGAGTTTTCTCATGTTTTTCTTCGGTGTTTTTCAGAGTTCTCATGTTTTTTAGAGTTCTCATGTTTTTCTCGTGGTGTTTTTTAGAGTTCTCATGTTTTTCTCGTGGTGTTTTTCAGAGTTCTCATGTTTTTCTCGCGGTGTTTTTTAGAGTTCTCATGTTTTTCTCGCGGTGTTTTTTAGAGTTCTCATGTTTTTCTCGTGGTGTTTTTCAGAGTTCTCATGTTTTTCTCGTGGTGTTTTTCAGAGTTCTCATGTTTTTCTCGTGGTGTTTTTTAGAGTTCTCATGTTTTTCTCGTGGTGTTTTTTAGAGTTCTCGTGGTGTTTTTTAGAGTTCTCAGTGTTTCTCGTGTTTTTAGAGTTCTCGTTTTTTGTGTGTTTTTAGATGTTTTTCTCGTGGTGTTTTTCAGAGTTCTCATGTTTTTCTCGTGGTGTTTTTTAGAGTTCTCATGTTTTTCTCGTGTGTTTTTTTAGAGTTCTCATGTTTTTCTCGGTGTTTTTCAGAGTTCTCGTGGTGTTTTTTAGAGTTCTCATGTTTTTTTTCGTGGTGTTTTTTAGAGTTCTCATGTTTTTCTCGTGGTTTTTTCAGAGTTCTCGTGGTGTTTTTTAGAGTTCTTGTGGTGTTTTTCAGAGTTCTTTGTTTTTTCTTGTTTTTTAGAGTTCTCATGTTTTTCTCGCGGTGTTTTTCAGAGTTTCTCGTGTTTTTCTCGTGGTGTTTTTCAGAGTTCTCATGTTTTTCTCGCGGTGTTTTTCAGAGTTCTCGTGTTTTTCTCGCTGTGTTTTTCAGAGTTTCTCATGTTTTTCTCGTGTTTTTTTAGAGTTCTCATGTTTTTCTCTGGTGTTTTTCAGAGTTCTCATGTGTTTTTAGAGTTCTCGTGGTGTTTTTTAGAGTTCTCATGTTTTTCTTCTCGTGTTTTTTAGAGTTCTCATGTTTTTCTCGCGGTGTTTTTTAGAGTTCTCGTGTTTTTCTCGTGTTTTTTAGAGTTCTCATGTTTTTCTCGTGTTTTTTAGAGTTCTCATGTTTTTCTCGTGTTTTTCAGAGTTCTCGTGGTGTTTTTTAGAGTTCTCGTGTTTTTCTCTCTTGTGTTTTTCAGAGTTCTCGTGGTGTTTTTTAGAGTTCTTGTGGTGTTTTTTAGAGTTCTCATGTTTTCTTGTGGTGTTTTTTTTTCAGAGTTCTCGCGGTGTTTTATAGAGTTCTCATGTTTTTCTCGCGGTGTTTTTTAGAGTTCTCATGTTTTTCTCGTGTTTTTCAGAGTTCTCGGTGTTTGTTCTCTGTTTTCTCGCGGTGTTTTTCAGAGTTCTCGTGTTTTTCTCGCGTGGTTTTTCAGTGTTCTCATGTTTTTCTCGCGGTGTTTTT